GCCTGTCTTTGAGAGAACTAATATTATGTGTGTTACGATTGTTCGTATAAGATGACCCAGGAGATATAATTGAAAGCGCTCGCTTGTGAATGCGTTCAAGATCGTTACATAAATATGCAGGTAATGAGTGGTGGAATACAGGTGCACAATACTCGAGAACTGGTTTGATGCTGCAAGTACAATAAAATTTTAGGATATGGCCAGCAGGAATGCTTGCACGCCTAAGCAAAATTAGGAAATACAAACGTTTGTTAGCTTTCTTCACGACATAGTTGACATGGTCAATCCATTCCAGTGGGTTAGACACCATGACACCCAATATCTTGGCACTGCTGACTTGCTCGAGTTCTTTGGAATTGATGATGGTGGTCTTAAGCTGATGTTTCACTTTCTTAAAGTCAACTATCATTTCCTTACACTTGTCTTCGTTCAACTGGAGTTTGTTGTTTTTACTCCATTTCTCTACATCAGACACTGCACTCTGCATTTGGCTTTGGCTATTTCTTGGGACAACCTCGGTTAATGTCGTATCGTCTTCGTACTTCCACGAGTGCCCTTCGGATGGTGTAAGGTCATTGATCATCAGAAGAAATAACCATGGTCCTAATTTCGTACCCTGTGGAACTCCAGATGGAACTGCACCCCATTCAGAGAAGCAATTGTTGAACAGTTTGACGCGTTGCAGCCTGTTCGATAAAAAGTCGCATACCCAGCGAACTACACTGCGTGGAACATTCAGGGAAAGGATCTTTTTAACTAGGATCCGGTGATCGATGCGATCAAATGCCTTCCTGTAGTGTAGCAACACCATCCTTACCGCGGCACCTGTCCCGTCAGTGCCCTTACCGCGGCACCTGTCCCGTCATGGAAATAAGGGCATGCGTAGTAGATGATTTTGGTATAGCGCCATATTGGTTGGGATCAATGATCTCAAGGATGGCAGGGCCAATATAATATCTTACGATAAAGTTCTCGGCTAGTTTTGATAGAGACGGGGTTAGCGAGATAGGTCTGACGTGCTTGGTAATTACAGTCACAGGTTTCGTCTTTGGTAGTGGTGTTACATTGGCGTACTTCCATGACAGAGGGAGGGATTGTTCAGCGAATGAGCTGTTCAGGATAACACAGACTGGGGTCGCGAGAAACTCGGCATAATCTTTAAGGAGGCAATTCGGCACGCCGTCTGGACCAGAGGCTTTTCGAGGGTTTAGCCTTACTAATGCTGAGTAAACTGAAGACTCATCGAGCGTTAGAATTTCCGAATCATTATCAAGAGGAGGAAGACTGTCAAGTGATTGATATTCCTGCATCGGTTCTAGAAGGGCAGTGTTTATAAGGTTGGCGATATCCTTATTTGACTTTCCATCAAGTCCATCAACATGTAATTGGGCGCGAATATCCTCGGTTGGCGTCGCTGGGATCATTCCTGATAACTTTTTAATCTCGTTCCACCACTGACTTGGCTTAACATTCATGAGGTTCGCAACCCTCGAGGTTTAATATCTGCTTCGGAGCACTTTGCGTTCACGGTTAACGTCGTTGCGAAGTTGGCGGAATCGTTCTTGTTCTCCTTGTGTGTAGGCTTTCTGGCGTAACTTGATGAGCTTTTTAAATTCGGGAGTTACCCAAGGAGGATCGTTAACATATAATTTAAAAGACTTGAGTGGCATAATAGTGTCTACGCCAATTTTAACAAGGTCAAGCAACAGTGTTAGTTTGTCTTCGCATTTATTAACAAAATTGAGAACAGACCAGTCGATAGAGCTCAGATATCTTCCAAGTTTTTGTCTTCGACTTGAACGAGTGTCTCTTCGAGTAATAAAGCGACGGCTAGAGGTGAGCACAGGTCTTACTTTGGGCCGCAGCAGTAAAACTGAATGGTCAGATAAACCAAATGGTGGAAAACTCTGCACCGATTTTTTGTCATAAAGATTGGGCATGTTATTATTGTTCGTAATTATGAGATCGAGTGTTTGATGGCCTCTTGTTGGGGCACTGACGAGCTGTTTCAGTTTGAATTGCATAAGAAGTCGACTGATATTTAAACGACTAAAGTCACCAGTGAATAATATTCCACACCCGCGATAACGTCCTTCAATAGTTGTCAATGTTGACATCAAGTATTCCAACATCGCCTTATCACTGGCACCTTCAGGGTAATGAGTATGGTACACAGCGCCAATAATGACACAGGGAAATCCTCTCGGTAGTCGTGCGGGTCTAATGTAGGTCCAAAGCACCTCGAATTCTTGGTGGAATAATAAGTCAGTGAGGGCTTTGAACATGACGGAGTTTTTATATAAAGCCCGACACCCCCGTGAGGACCAGATGTACGGTTCTTTAGCAGTAATTTGAAGCCAGGAATTTTAAGGTGATGCTCGCTAACAGAGTCATTGATCCAAGTCTCAGTTAATGAAATTAAATCCGGCTTTGTATTGTTAACAAAACATCTCAACTCGTCAATCTTTGGCTTTGGTTAGGATAAAAACAGTTTCGAAAGTAACATCACAAATTGTAAGATAAAATAGTCCAGGATAAGTGTGTAATTAGTGACGTACCCACCTCCCCTCGGTAATTGCGGCACTTCCGGAGATACAGTATAGCTTCGCCGCTTTCTATACCTTTGGCTGAAAATTATTTAGCCCAATCTTAATATTCCTTCAGTTAAAGGTATTGTGCAGGGAAGCGAGCAGTGACAATATATAGCTATCCACATGTAAATTGGTGCTATATTAGAAATGTTAATCGTATTCATTGGAAAGTTTGATATGCCATACTGTATATTAAGCATTATCACAACCCTCGGAATGAGTCAACGCATACAAAAGAGGTTTTAATTAGGCACATTCAAATCATATACAACTTCACTGACTTTAGGTTTGTCGTTCACATTCTATCCGAAGATCAGTCAAAACGTGACTCATGACTGAACGATCCAAATGAGTAGTAATATAGAGGCCGATCGGGCCGGATTTTTGCGGTGGTGAAGTGTGGTGGAGTGAGGGTGCGCTAATTAATATTCATACTGTGAGGAGGAGTGTGGTGGAGTGAGGGTGCGCTAATTAACATACATCCACTTAATATATGCATTGATGTCACGCGGGCAAGTTTGGGCGAGATCGTGTGAAACTTGCTGACTGGGCATTTTTTAGCGTCCCTCCACGTGTGTGATACAATAGAGGGATTAAGATTGGCTTACTATGATTGGTTCGAGTCCCTCACATGGCAAAAATTAATATATAGCAGAGTTATAGCCGTATCTTTGCTCGGAAGAGAGAAATTTCCACAGGTATATTGAAGGATTTTTCGTATGTTTGCAAAATTATAGCGAGGAATGTATTTAAACAGTTGCTAATCCCAGGTTAACATGGTTGTCAACGTCGTTGTTATGGTCAATATTTGCATGTTCAACATTATTTAGCAAACCTCCTACATACATATATACTGTTAAGATGACCGAGTCAGATCATAAGAAAGCTTATCAAGAATACTTGAAGGAAAAAAAAAGTTTTAGAACCGTTGTGATACATTTTGCGATAAAAATATGTTTTTATCAAATATGTGGTCGTTATATACGTTGCTATGTGTTACCAGTCATTAGCGATGCTTGGGTGCATGCATATATTAACGTACAACATATTTGTACACTAATCAGGCGGGCGGGTTAGACAAATCGCGCTGGCGGACGGGAAAGAGTGAGCTTTGCAGGCAAAAGTTTGCCCAAGATTTCAGTTTTAAAATACATTTATTTCTTTAAGTACTACAAAGTTAATAATTCTTGCCTGTATAAATATAATATTATCCACTTAAGGTGGCTCCATACAGTTCCGTAGTATAAATACCTTATTGCGTAAAAAATTCAATTTATAAATTTTATCACTTCATCTATTAATTTTAAGAATTCCCAAGTATAAATTAAGTATTTGATAGAAAAGATTTTCAATATTCTTGAACATAATATTGTTTCCATGGTAACAGTAGTTTCGCCAAATATGGTATTTTTTGCTATTTTAAGCAGGTTTTTATTTTTTATTTTCCGAATATTGCCGGTGACACCCCATTTTTAACTGCTGTATAGCTTTCACTTTTAATGCGGAATCTTATCCCTGAAAATAAAAAAATTCTGTATAAAAAAATTCGGATTTAGAGTTTTTCAATCTACAGATTTTTTTAAAATTTTGATATTCTATTTGTTTTAAAAGAAGTTATCGTTGTGCAAAATTTCATCACATGTCACCGTGCAAAATTTTGAATTACGCCGTTTTATTGTGGTATCTCACTCGCTCGGCCGAAAGTTTTTCGAGCTCTGCAAGATCAATGAATTGACATGCGCATACATGTTTTCGCAGGCGCACAAAAAAGTTTTTAGTCTCGTCGAAATATCAAATATATTTTGTGTTTTCTTGCTTAGAAATCCAAATATATTTAGGTTTGCATGCTAACTCGGGATAACGCCAAGAAAACAGGTGATTGTGTCGTTTGGTATAAGATATGTGTGACATGTATGAACTTTTTGGCTTCTCTACATAGTTTTATATTCGTTTTCAGTCGTAACTTGTGTGTTTTCATGTTGTTGTTGACAATTTAAAACATTTAACCGGCGCATGATGCTGTTTCACTGAATTTCTTTGCTGTTAGTAACACTTTGAATACATTTACCAGTTGTAAGTACAAAAAACTCTGGATATGAACTTATAAATCGCCAAATATTGCAGTAAAATTTTTTTTACCTTAAAGTGGCTTCTAAAAAGACTAGTTATTCGATGTTCAGAGCTAAATCATGACGAAGTTTGTTCTTTGAAAACAAATGAGAACAAGGAAGATTCAAAACATCAAAATATACATGACTTGTGGTTCGGATTTTTGACTGAAAAAGTTGTTTTTATTTTGCATATATTTTTAATATTTTCGCGCGAAAACTCAAGATTAGGTACCAGTCCCCCGATGATGAAAAGTGTATGGAGCCACCTTAAGAGTTTTGTCCCGTTTTGGTTTCTAACTTTAACCACTCCTTTGAGCCATCATTCATTTCTGTATTATCCACGTTCTTTGCAGATTTTGTATTTGATTTTGTTCTCTTCTTGGAGGATTTTGGTTGACGGATGGGTATATTCCTTATCCCGCTTTTATTCCACTTTGACTGCTTTTTACTGTTCCCAATTAATCTGTACAACTCTGTTAAAACATTTTCTAAGTCTAAAGCTGTTGGCTTAGCACGAATAAGATAAGGTTGTCTTTCTTGGGACGAAAGTTCATGGACGTCTGCCAAATGGTTTGCCAATCTTTTTAGAGCTCGCTTGCCGCAGATGGGACAATCTTTACACTTCCGAGGCATAATGTCAAATGATAAATGTCAACTGATTCCTAACATTAAATAGTTGTGGCCCCAAAGGCCTTTTTGAAGGTTTGCCGGGACTTGGGAGAGGGTTAGAGAAATGGGTTAGGGGGAAATAGCTACCACACAGGATCGTATTTTATTTTTATAAATCAAACACAAACAACCATTAAGAGTCAATGTCACTAGGATACCGTGTGTTTCTGAAAAGTCTTTTCAAAAGAAATTTTCTCTTGTCAATAGTGGCCTCTAACGCTTCCCTGTGGTCGAAATTATCATCGTTGACAAAGACATCCCTGGTTTCCATAATCTTTTTTTTGTATTGGATCTCTGTTTAGTTGTCTTATCCATAGTGGACGTTCCAAATAAATATTCTGCAAATCTTTACGAAGTTTTGGTAGGATAAGTAAGTATGCCTTCTGCAGTGAAATTCTGCGTTAGTTCTTCGAATTCCGATAAACTTTGTTGGGCTGCTTCAGCTTTTGAAGGAGCCCATGGATCGCTTTCGTATTTATCACCTACTTCACTACTAGTATCATCTACATTATCAGAATCACTTTCTGACGCAGAATCAGTTTCCACTTCGTTGTCAGTTGCCTCCCCACCAATAGGATTCTGGAGAATCGGGCCACAAGGCCATAAAAAGGCCCTTGCGGCCAATGCGAAAAGTGGCCTTAAAGGCCTTTTCTATGGCCTTGTGGCCCGATTGGCTGGGATACTTCCCACCAAGAGGGCTCTAGAGAATCGGGCCACAAGGCCATAAAAAAGGCCCTTGGGACCAATGCGAAAAGTGGCCCAAGGGCCTTTTCTACGGCCTTGTGGCCCGATTGATGATTGGTTGGGATGGGCCACTTTTCGCACTGGCCCCAAGGGCCTTTTTTATGGCCTTGTGGCCCGATTCTCTAGAACCCTCTTGGTGGGAAGTATCCCAGCCAATCGGGCTACAAGGCCGTAGAAAAGGCCCTTGGGGCCACTTTTCGCATTGGCCCCAAGGGCCTTTTTGATGGCCTTGTGGCCCGATTCTCTAGAGCCCTATTGGTGGGAAGTACTGTATCCCAGCCAATCGGGCCACAAGGCCATAGAAAAGGCCTTTAAGGCCACTTTTCGCATTGGCCCCAAGGGCCTTTTTTATGGCCTTGTGGCCCTATTCTCTAGAGCCCTCTTGGTGGGAAGTATCCCAGCCAATCGGGCTACAAGGCCGTAGAAAAGGCCCTTGGGGCCACTTTTCGCATTAGCCCCAAGGTCATTTTTTATGGCCTTGTGGCCCTATTCTCTAGAGCCCTCTTGGTGGGAAGTATCCCAGCCAATCGGGCTACAAGGCCGTAGAAAAGGCCCTTGAGGCCACTTTTCGCATTGGCCCCAAGGGCCTTTTTGATGGCCTTGTAGCCCGATTCTCTAGCGCCCTCTTGGTGGGAAGTACTGTATCCCAGCCAATCGGGCCACAAGGC